GCTTATTGAATGAATGAATTCTAAGTTCAACTTTAGCTTTTTAGAGAAGGCTTTATGGTAATCATTTTCTAGATCATGCCACCTGCCATGATCTAGGGCAGATACCATAAGATAGGCCCTACAGACCAATAAACTTATTGTCCACTTTCTTTTCATCCTGCAGATACTCAGATCTAAACTGGAAGTTCATTACAGGAATTTCAGCTAACAATTCTCATACAATATCAATTCCTGAAAAGAAAGTTACTTACTATTATACATTGACCTCTACACGACTTTACTATATCTTTTTGAACAAAATACCAAGGCTGAAGCTATTTTGTATGCTGCCACTATGTCCATACGGTGTTGTATTGATCTAAAGATTCCTTTCATGACATAGTAAACATTTTCATGACCAGAAATTCATTTTAACTGTTATTCTGAAGATCATATCTCATTTGTTTTTTACCCAAAGCAAAAAAGTCTAACCTAGACAGCCCTGTAAAAAAGGTGTAGCCAACAGTAGATAAGATACAATAATAAAACAATAAAAACCACTTCAAAATAAAAAATATACATTTCAAAACATAACAATAATGGCTTTTAAATTGTCAGTTGCTTTGAATCATCTTTATGGCTGCTACATGAGAGAAGAAATTTTACAGACCCACCCATTTGTTCTTACTGTTATCCTGGATTTATGTAGCACCAAGCACAATTTTCTGAATAGTACAGGCCCAAACCTTCTACTTAGAGTCTGAATTAGCTGAATTTGTCACCTTTATTGATCAGAAAGGACATTAATAACCTAGAGAGTGTCCAGAGGTAGCCTAACAAGATGGTCCAGGGTCTCAAATTCCAGCTTAATGAAGACTATTAGAAAAAATTAGGGATGTTTAGCCTAGAAAACGGAAGACATAGGGAAACTTGGTATGTGTCTCTTAAGTATTTAAAGGGCTTCCATGTACAAGAGGGATTCATTCTATTTGTCCCTAGAGGGCAGAACTAGGAACAAGACTTGGAAGTTTAAAAGAAGTAAATTTAGGTTTGAAGGAAAGGAAAACTTCCTAACAATTAGAGCTATCCAAAGAGTTTCCTGGGCTTCCTCAAAAAGTACAGGAATCTTTCCTCACTGTAGATCTTCAAGCAAAAACTAGATGATCATTTGTAAGGTACAGCCTTAAAGGATTTCTTTTCAGATACAAGTCGAACTCTGAAGCCAATAAGGTCCCTAGTCATTCTGAAATTCTGTAATTTTGTGAAATAGGCCAGATCACATCACCCATTCACTTTCATGAAGACCTTGTAGTACTGCAATTTTTATAAACTTCAAATCTAAGATGTTCTTTATAACCAAAGATAATAATACGGATTCAGAGTCGTTAGTGCTGCAGAATTTAAAAGAGCATGTTCTAATAATGGATTTGCATTGATTCATTCAGACTTTCTCACCTAGTTGCCCTTGCCTCCAAGGGCATTTATTTAAACGACTACTGTCTAAGTATAGAAGTGCAGTCTGATCACTGTATGGAGAAAAAAGTGAAGCCAATTAATGTAGGTGAGGATTAAGTCTATGACCCTTACTTCATAAATACCAAGTGAACTAATTAGTCCATACAGAGAACTAGCTCCCTTAAAGCTAAGTGAACATATAAGAAATCCAAATTGATAAATTAGATGAATTAAAGAGGCCATTAAAAAAAAGTCTTTTTTTCCCCTTGGACAAAAGGGTTATTCGTGATAATCGTACTCCTTTAAATGTCTCTAGTATAAATGAAATTAGATTCAATTATTTTTTTAAAATGGTCTATATCTATCTTTCAGGAAAACAGAGTATGTATGTGCTTCCTCTTTTTGCTTTAAAAACAAAAGTCTTTTTAAAAAGTCTTTAATAATGGAAATGCAGCATATTTTTAACTTAGGAAATGAATTATCATTACTTCAAATCAGGTAATAGGCATTTATTAAGCACTTACTTAATCACTGAGATATAAATGCAAGCAAGCAAAACAGCCCCTGCCCTTAATAAGCTTACATATATGGGGAAAAAAAAAACATAAAAGGGAGCTGAAAAGTGGGGGAAGGGTTGGGGAAGTATTAATTTACTGGAGTGAGGGCATAATGGTAAAGTTCAGACAATGAAGAACAGCTAGCAAAAAACCTTCCTCCATATGGATGTTCCACATGGAGGAAGAACTCACCAATGAGAGAAGGGGGAATTGGATAGAATTCAGTCATCTATATCTTCTCTTTCTGTGTGGACTGTGTCCATATCTTCCCCTAAATCTCCTAGAGAGGACCCATCTACTTTCCACTAGGTAGCTTAACATTTTTTTTAAACTAAAAAGTACCTGTTCTATATTCTAGCTGTCAATGTTATCTCCTCCTCTCATTATGTTACTGATCCAACACCTTTTCCAATGATACATTTTTTGAATCCTATCTTGTAGCTACCAAGATACATTTTCATTATTTCTATAGCAAGAGCCAGTAATTTGTGTGTTATATTAGCACAATAATTTTCATTAGCCAACCTTCCTTCCACTGAGGTGTTGTTTAGGTTTTCTGTAATTTAAAAAGTTATTTAAATTGAGCATAACAAATATATCAATCAATTTTACATCCGAATGCAGTATTGAAAAGGGCATTAGAAAAGATCAGGTAGGCTTTTAATATTGTGCAGTAGACCACATCTTTACTATCACATAATTGATTAAAAGGTATCAAAGATACAAAGATCACACTGTACTTTTTGTTTATTGACTTTAGAAAATCATTTGATTCAATACAAGCAATGTTACTTTAATGGCTGTCCTTCTACAAGCTGCCAAACATGCATATGTCATAATTATAAAAGAAAAACAGCTACATCAGAAAGATATAACAGAACTAACCTTGTGTGATATCCCTCTGATAATCAATGTCAATTGTGGCATAAAATTGGTGACACTCATTCACTGTCATGGAGAAGTTCCAAGTCTAAGACCAAGTCAAGGAAAGACTATCTAGAGATGATAAATTTCTCCACAAGTTCCTATTGGCAAATTATATTGTGTTGATGCAGTGAAACTCTGGAACACTGAAGAACCTCCTAAATGAATTCCGCAATGCTTCCAAAGAGTTATACATACTATCAATGCAGGGAAAATTAAGTAGATTATCTTTGTCCAAACTGATCCTATCTAATATGTAAGCACTGAAGGATTGTGATCTGCATCTTTTGGGGAGGGGAGAGGGAGTATCCATGCTGATAAAATCATAGCTCCATTAATGTATTTGCTTTGTTATTTTTGAAATATCTGTATTTCTTAGACTGATATAAGGTACTGTATAAAATACTAGTATAAACATAAACACATGGCCATTATGTGTCAGAGATAAGACTTAAACTCAGGTCTTCCTTGCTTCAAGGCCAGTTCTCTATCACCTATGCCAAATCACCTCTTAACATGGCTTTTTTACACTTCTCCAATGAGACAGCAGGAGTTGCAGTTCGTGCCATGCAACACAATTCAGTTCAACAACTTAATTTTCTACTAAAGTATGGAGGGCTTGCTATTTTGAGGTACAGAAGTAAAAAAATTGGAACCACAGTATCTTACTGACCCTAGAAAATAAAGGCTACCTCCTTCCCTTCATGAGAAGTTTTATGGTGTTAGTTCAGTCTTGCAGGTGGGGCAAAATGCCTACCCTCACCCAAAAAGAAATCTTATGTTTTATTTTCAGTAGGGCATTTAAAATCTGTCCACGATGGGACTGGGTAATGAAAGTGAATGAATCCCCTGTAACCTCTTTATGGACCTATGAAGATACTTTCCCTTTTTTCTTCCTAAAGCTTATTGTTATGAAAATGAAAGTGAGAGATGGGCCTTTTTCACAGTACTGCTCAGTTTCCTTCTTTCTCAAGAAGCACTTACAAGGCAGCTCTGGTGTAATGAGAAGAGCACTGGACTAGGAATCAGGAGGCCCTGTTCTGCTGCTAAGTAGCTGTATGACCTGGGGTAAGTCACTTCCCCTGTTATCTTAACTGTAAAATGAAGAAATGTCACAGGAAGTAGTTAATGTTTGTTGGTTGTTTAATTATCTCAAAGAGACCTTCTGGTCTGCTTATGCATAGTAGTCCTGGGCTTGATAGCCTATAAAGCCAACCTTTAAAAATAATTTCTATTTTTATCTTTGTTCCTTCCCTTCCTCCTGCTCCAGTCATTCCTTACAACAAAGATAAGGAGGAAAACATTCAGCAAAACTAATCAACTAATTAAAAAAAAAATCTAACATAATATGTAGTATTCTGTACTCATAGTTTCCATACTTTACACAATGTACCTTCTAACATTCCTTCTTTAGTACCAAGCTTAGTAATTATAATTTTAAAGCTGCTGACCAACTACATTTGATGGGCAACTAGACTCAAGGCCCCAGGGAATAACAGCATCCTCTATACTAGTCAGGCGATCCATAAACCTTCCTAAAATGACTACAATGTGCCAGGAACTATTCTAAGCACCAAGGATACAAATACAAAAGAGAAAGGCCCTGACCTCAAGGAGCTTACAATCTAATGGGGAAAGACAACACATAAAAGGAAGCTGAAAGGAGAAGGAAGGGGGAAGAATGAAGGTCCTGGGCTACAGGCCTTGCTAAGTCTGCAGCTATCATTTTAGAGAACAGTCACTGTGCAGATGAGGTCCTCTTTCCTTGCCGCTACTAACACCAACTCCTGACCAACTGCCAATGACTGACAGGTAAGGTTATCAGAAAGCTATCATCCCAGGATGCAACCCCCAAGGAGGTGTGGCCTGACAACTGATTCTGCAAGTGCCACAGGAAGCAGAATATCTTCCACCAAAGGTCTTGGCTCTGTTAAATGGCTCAAAATCAGAAGTTAATATGATTTTGTCAGGAAAAGTGATATTAAAGAAGATGTATTATCCTTTGCTTCACTGCTATATCCTGAGGATGATGGGTTCTTTTCATTCAGCTTAGAGATGACACTTCTTAAATTTTGCTATCTTTACCTTTTAGAATGAGAGCTTGAAAGATGGCAGAGAAAAGGCAGCAACTCGCCTGAGCTCTCCACAAAACCCCTCGAAACACCTTTAAAATAATGCCATAATACAATTCCTGGAGCAGCAGAACCTACAAAAGAAAAGGGTAAAATAATTTTCCAACCAAAGACAATTTAGAAGGTCAGCAGGAAAGTTCTGTTACACCTGTGGGAAAGTGTAGCACAGTTCAGCCCAGGCTGCACGAGCACAGACCCAGAATGGGCAAACCAGGAGCAGGCCTTGGGAGCCACTGACTTAGCAGCCATAGCAGCTGCTTCTGGACCTCATCGGGTCACAGACAGCAAGGGGGTAAAATAACTGGTCAAAAGAAGGTCTCTCTGCAAGCACTGAGGCAGGACTCTGTTGCTTTGCCCATACTTACTTAGATCCCCGTCACAGTCCTGGATAGCCCTTCCAAGGCAAGGAGGAGCACTAACATAACACAGCTTGCCGCCACAGTAGAACAAACTATAGTCAATAGTTTACCTGTCAGATTTATGGAGAAGAGAAGAATTTATGACCAAACAAGAGACAGAGAACATTATAAAATGCAAAATGGATGATTTTCATTACATTAAACTGAAAAGTTTTTACGCAAAGCCAATACAACCAAAATTAGAAGGGAAGGAGAAAGCTGGGAAACAATTTTTATATCCAGTGTCTCTGATACCGGCCTCATTTCTAAAATATCTAGAGAACTAAGTCCATCAGTTGGGGAATGGCTGAACAAGTTGTGGTATATGACTATAATGGAATACTGTTGTACTATAAGAAATGATGAGCAGGCAGACTTCAGAAAAACCTGGAAAGACTTATATGAACTGATGCTAAGTGAAGTAAGCAGAACCAGGAGAATATTGTACACAGTAACATCCACATTGTGTGATGACTAACTTTGATAGCCTTAGCTCTTCTCAGCAATGCAGGGATCTAAAACAACTTCAAAAGACTCATGATGGAAAATGCTATCCACATCCAGAGAAAGAACTCTAGAGTCTGAATGCAGATGGAAGCATACCATTTGCTCTCCTTTTCATTTGTCATTTTGTTTTCTTTCTTCTTTCTTGTGGTTCCTCCCATTAGTTCTAATTTTTCTCTACATCATGACTAATGTGAAAATGTTTAATATGAATGTGTAAGCAGTACCTATATCAGATTGCATGTCATCTTGGGCAGGGGGAGGAGAGGAAGAGGGAGAAAATTTAAAACTCAAAATCTCATGGAAGCAAATGTTAAAAACTAAAATTAAATTAATTATAAAAAAGAAAAAGTTAACAAAGTCAAAGTTCCTACATCCAAAGCCTCCAAGAAAAATATGAATTAGTCTCAGGCCGTGGAAGATATCAAAAAGGATTTTGAAAATCAAGTAAGAGAGGTAAAGGAAAATTGGCAAGAAAAATGAGAGTGACGCAAGAAAATCATGACAAGAGTAAACAGCTTGCTAAAGGAGACGCAAAAAAATACTGAAGAAAATAACATCTTAAAAAACAGACTAGGCCAAATAGAAAAACAGGCACAAAAATCCACTGAAGAAAAAAACTTAAAAAGTAGAATTGGCCAAATGGAAAAGGAGGTACAAAAATTCACTGAAGCAAATAATTCCTTAAAAATTAGAACTGAGCACATGGAAGCTAATGACTTTATGAGAAATCAAGAAACAACAGAATAAAACCAAAAGCACAGAAGATAATGTGAAATATCTTATTGAAAAAACAACCACTGGGAGAGCAAGGAATAGTTTACCTATCAGATTTACAGAGAACAGAATTCATGACCAAACAGAAGACAGAGAACATTATGAAAAGCAAAATGGATAACTTTGATTACATTAAATTGAAAAGTTTTTGTACAAACAAAGCCAATGTAACCAAGATTAGAAGGAAAGTAGAAAATTGGGAAAGAATTTTTACAACCAGTCTCTCTGGTAAGGGCCTCATTTATAGAATATATAGAGAATTAAGTCAAATTTACAAGAATACAAGTAATTTTCCAATTGATAAATGGTCAAAGGATATGAACAGCCAGTTCTCAGATGAAGAAATTAAAGTCAGCTATAGTCATATGAAAAAATGTTCCAAATCACTATCTATTAGAGAAATGCAAATCAAAACAACTCTGAGGTACCACATCACACCTATCAGATTGGCCAACATGACAAAACAGGAAAATGATAAATGTTGGAGAAGATGTGGGAAAATTGGAACACTAATGTATTGTTGGTGGAGTTGTGAAATTTGGAACTATGCCCAAAGGGCTATAAAAATGTGCACACCCTTTGACCCAGCAATAGACTTCTAGGGCTATATCCCAGAGAGATCATTCAAATGGGAAAAGGACCCACATGTACAAAAATATTTATATCAGCTTTTTCGTGGTGGCAAAGAATTGGAAACTGAGAGGAGGCCCATCAATTGGGGAATGGCTGAACAAGTTGTAGTATATGAATATAATGGAATACTATTGTGCTATAAGAAATGATGAACAGACTGACTTCAGAAAAACCTGGAAAGACTTGTATGGACTGATGCTGAGTCAAGTGAGCAGAACCAGGAGAACATTGTACACAATAACAGCCACATTGTACGATGACTAATATTGATAAACTTAACCCTTCTCAGCAATACAAGGACCTAAGACATCTCCAAAGGCCTCATGATGGAAAATGCTATCCACAAAGAAGAAAGAACTATGGAATTTGAATGCAGATCGAAGCATACTATTTGCTATTTTTTTTTCTTCTGTTGTATTTTGTTTCTTCTTTCTGGTGGTTCCTCCTATTGGTTCTAATTCTTACTTACAACATCACTAATGTGAAAATATGTTTAATAGGAATGTATATGTATAGCCTATATCAGACTGCATGCTGTTTTGGGGAGGGGGAGGTGAGGAGGGAGGGGAGAAAAATTTTAAACTCAAAAGCTTATGGAAATAATTGTTGACAATCCAAAATAAATTAATAAAAAAAGAAAAACAACTGACCTGGAAAACAGAACAAGGAGACATAAATTTAAAATTAATGGACTACCAGGGAGCCATGACAAAAAAAAAAAGCCTAGACACTGTCTTTTAAGAAATTATCAAGGAAAACTGCCCTAATATTCTAGAACTAAAGGGCAAAATAGAAATTGAAAGAATCCATCAATCACCATCTGAAAGAGATCCTAAAATGAAAACTCCCAGGAATATTACAGGCAAATTCCAGAGCTCCCAGGTCAAGAAGAAAATATCATAAGCAGCCAGAAAGAAACAATTCAAGTATGGTAGAGCCACAGTCAGGATAACACAAAATTTAACAGCTTCTACATTAAAGGATCAGAGGGCTTAGAATGTGATATCTGGAGGACAAAGGAGCTAAGATTACAACCAAGAATCATCTACCCAGCAAAACTGAGTATAGTCCTTGGCGGGGGCAGAATGGATATTCAATGAAATAGAAGACTTTAAGCATTCTTGATGAAAAGACTGAAGTTGAATAGAAAATCTGACATTCAAATACAAGACTCAAGAGAAGCATAAAAAGGTAAACAGGAAATGAAAATCATAAGGAAATTAATGAAGTTAAACTGTTTACATTCCTACATGGGAAGATGATACTTGTAACTCATAAGAACTTTTCCACTATTAGGGCAGTTAGAGGGAGTATATATAGACAGAGGGCACAGGTGTGAGTTGAATATGAAGGGATGATATCTACAAAACATAAAATTAAGGGGTCAGAGAGGAATGTATTGGGAGAATGAGAAAGGGACAGGTAGAAGGGGGTAAATTATCTTACCTAAAAGAGGCAAGAAAAAGATTTAACAGTGGATGGGAAGAAGGGGGAGGTAAGGGGGAGTGTGTGAACCTTGCTCTCATCAGAATTGTCTCAAAGAGGGAATAACATAACACACTCTATCTTACCTTACAGGAAAGTAGGAGGGGAAGGGGATAAGAGAAGCGAGGATGATAGAAGGGAGGGCATATTGGGGGAAGGAATTGTCAGAAGCAAAACACTTTTGAGGAGGGACAGGGCGAAGGGAGAGAGAATAAATTAAAAGGGAGGAAATAGGATGGAGTGAAATACAGTTACCAATTGTAATTGTGGAAAAAATTTTGAAGCAAGTTTCTCTGATAAAGGCCTCATTTCTCAAACATATAGAGAACTGAGTCAAATTTATAAAAATAAAAGCCATTCCCCAACTGATAAATGATCAAAAGATACGAACAGTTTTCAGATGAGGTAATCAAAGCTATCTACAGCCATATGAAAAAAAATGCTCTAACTCACTATTGATTAGAGAGCATAAATTAAAACAATGTTGAGGTACTACTTCATACCTATCAGATTGGCTAATAGGACAGAAAAGGAAAATGACCAATGTTGAAGGGGATATGGGAAAAATGAGACATTAATGCATTGCTGGTGGAGCTGTGAACTGATTCAACCATTCTGTAGAGCAATTTGGAACTATGCCCAAAAGGATATAAAATCATGCATAACCTTTGACCTAGCAATACCACTACTAAATCTGTATCCTAAAAGAAATAAACAAAAAGGAAAAGGACTTTTATGTATGAAAATATTTATAGTGGCTCTTTTCTAGAGGCAGAGAATTAGAAATTGAGGGGATGCCCGTCAATTAGGGAGTGGCTGAACAAGCTGTGGTATGTGATTATGATGGAATACTATTGTGCTATAAGAAATGATAAGCAGGATGCTCTGAGAAAAACCTGGAAATACATGAGCTGATGCAAAGTGAAATGTACTGTGTACAAAGTAACAGCAATATTGTAAGATGATCAGCTATGAATAACTTAGCTCTTCTCAGCAATACAATAATGCAAGCAACTCTGAAGGACTCATAACGAAAAATGCTATCCATCACCAAAGAAAGAACTGATAGTGTCTGAATATAGATTGAAGCATGCTTTTCTTAAAATTTATTTTTCTTGAGGTTTGTTTTTTTTTTGGTCTATGATACATGACTACATATGTATAATCTATATGGAATTGCTTGCCTTCTGGGGGTGGGGGGAGGAAAGGAGAGAATTTGGAACTCAAAAGTTTTAAAAGTGATTATTTTTACATGTAACTGGGAGAAAAATACTAAATAAATTCCGCCCTAAATAAACAAACAAATAAATAAATAAATGGAATGACACTTGGGAGGAGACACTATTTTCCCTACCTGTATCCTCATTAGCACCTAACACTGTATTTTGCACATAGTAAGCACCTTATAGGGCCTTTTTCATTCATTCACTCGTGATTCTTTCCATTTACATTGTTGTAGTCACAGTATATATTGTTTTTCTCCTGCTTACTTTATTCCATATCAATTAATACATGTCTTCCCACACTTCTTTGCAATTCATCATATTCATCATTTCTTACAGCACAATAACATTCCACTATTTTCATTACCGGAATTTGTTTAGCCATTCCCTTATAGATAGGCATCAGCTTTGTGTCCAGTTTTTTGCTATCACAAAAAGTGCTGCTATAAATGTTTACTGCTCATGAGACCTTTCCTTGTATTAATGCCCTCTTTGGGGCATATGCCTAGCACTGGAATCCCTGTGACAAAGAGCTACTTTCTCTTTTCCAAATTTCCAAATTGATGACATATCACATCTCCATTAGCGGTGCATTAGTGTACCTGTATAAAATATTTTTTACTTTTGTATGTGTTTGTGTGACTTAGTAACATAAAGTAACCTCCTAAAAAGAGAAAGGCTCTCGTTTTTGTTTGCATTCTCCTATTAGCCCCTAGAACTGTGTTTGTCCCAAAGTAGTCCTTAAACACTTGTAAAATTGAGTAACTCACAACATACTGGATAACTCACTTAAAAAATATCTTTTTCCACTTCCATTCTGTCTCCCTCCCAATTTCTTCTAGTTATGTAGTATCTTGTTCTCTAGTATTTCTTCCATAGCATCCTCAGGCCCAGGCCAAATACAAGACTGAAAATTGTCTCTCCAGGGTCTCTGCTTTTTTCTCTTTGGCTTTTGTGGGTGCTCTCTCTCTCTCTCCTCTTCCTCTTTCCCCTCCTCTCTCTTTCCTTTCTCCTTTCTTTTTTTCTTCCCCCCTCTCTCCTCTTTCCTTTCTCTTTCCCTTTTTTCTCTTCCCTTTCTTTTCTTTTTCCTCTCTCTCCTCTTTTCCCCCTCTTTCCTTTCTTCTCTCTCCCCCTCTCTTTCCTTTCTTCTCTCTGTCTCTCTCTCTTCCCCCTTCTCTTATCTTTCTTCTCTCTTTCTCCTCTCTCTCTTTCCCCCTCTCCTCTCTTTCCTTTCTCTTCTCTCCCTGTCTGTCTGTCTCTCTCTCTCCCTCCCTCCCTTCCCTCCTCTCTCGCTCTTTCTCTCTGTCTGCCTCTCTCCTCCCAGGGTGAGCATCCATCCTGGCCAAGCACAGAGGCCCTCGGAAACTTCTCGGTGGCCCGAGCAGCGCGGCGCCAGGAGCGCGGTCGGGGCACGGTCCCCTCCCCGCCGCGAGCAGCCGGGGAGCCTCGGGCACACCAGCGCAAAGCTGCGGTGGCCCGGCTCGGGCATTAGGAGGAGCACTGAGATGACTTCGCTTTCTTTCCCCTTCCCTCCTCCCACTCCTCCCTCGCTGGCTCTCCGCTCTGCTCTCGGGCGGCAGCGAGACACACACACACACACACACACCGCGGTGTGTCAAAGCCCACGTGTTTCCAGACCGAGAGAGCCAGCGAGAGGCCGGCCAGACGCACGCACCAAGCCGGTGGAGGAGGCGGAGGAGGCGGTGATGATGGTGGCGGCGGCGGGGGGGTCCCCGGCTCACAGAAGAGAGAGCTCCGGGCCCCAAGCGCTGGAGACTCCCGGGCCCAGCCCTCCCAGGGCGGCGGCAGCGACGGAAGCGGCCCGGTGACAGCGGCCAGAGGTGCCCGGCGCGGGACCCGCGGCTTCCTGCCGCTGCAGCGACGCCCGAGCCGAGCGAGCCCCCCACGCATCCCCGCGGAGGAAGAGGAGGTGGAGGAGGAGAAGGAGAAAGAGAGAAGGAGGAGGAGGAGGAGGAGGACGGGGCCGCGGAGGGAGCGGCAGGCTGCCCGGGCGGCCCCAGCCCCGCGCCGGGGCTGCCTTGTTTTTGTTTGCGCCCCACATTTCCTCTGCGTGGTGTGGCGGAGCCTCGTGCGCGCGGTTATTTATTTATTTCCGGGCCCCAGAGCTCTTCTAATGGAGAAGCTGTCAGCAGAAATTGCTGCTAGTGGTGGGGGTGCCGCTGCCGCCGTCCCTCCTCTTTTTTTTCCCGGCAGATCATTGTTGTGTGGGAGGGCAGCGGGGATGGACTTGATCTTTTGGATTTCTTGCTAGAACAACACCAGGCGGCCCAGAGGTGGGAGCAGCAGAGGAGAGCTGCCCCTCGGCGCTGCTTCATCTCCGAGCTCAGATCCTCCCCACCCATCCTCTCTCTCTCTCCTCTCCCTCTCTTTCATTTATTTATTTATTATTATTATATATATTTTTTTCGCTCTCCTCTTTTTCATTCCCTCCTCTTCCTTCACCTTCCTGCAGAGTCTCTTTGCTGCGGCAGATGTGTGTGGGGTCACCACACAGCTGGGACTATGGTGAAATTTCCAGCGCTCACTCACTACTGGCCCCTTATCCGGTTCCTGGTACCTCTGGGCATCACCAATATAGCCATCGACTTCGGGGAGCAGGTAAACTCACGGCGAGCAGCGCGGCCCCTTCTCCCTTATTCCCCCTAGATAAATGCAACCTTCAGCTCGAGCACACGAGTAGGATGATACACCTAGATACTTACTGTTTCTTGAGCTGTCATTTGAGATCAATACAAGCTCCAGGCTCGCAGGTTCAGGTAGTGCACCCCACCCTCTCTATTCCCCTTCCTCAGAAATTGGAGAGCCCCAAGTGGCACACCTGTTTTGCATTTGGTGCTCTTTAGCAGCCTCTGCCCTTGGGGGTTTATTTCTTAGCTTCAGAGACCCAGCTATGAGTTTGCCTATAGTGAATGGAGAGCTATTTACAAAGAGAAAAATAAGGAAGACTCAATATAACACAGGTATGTGCACAAACTCATACTTATCGGATAGTTACCCTGCAAATTTTCATTTCTAAGTAACATGACATTTATTTGTTGGAGCAAAGAGGTTTCCGCTGCTTTGTGTCTCTATAACCTGGATGTTATGTGGTTGATTTTGCTACTCACTTATGTAGGGTGATCTTGTTTACTGTCCTTTTAAAAATTATTATTATTATTCATTAGACTTTTTCAATTCTCTGATGAATGTCGAACACTTCACATATAAAGGGAAAGGTTTTCAGTGCACAGGAAGATTATGTAATTTGTGATTATATAACCCACTGATCTGTATCTTAATTAAAAACTAATTTTCAAAGGCTAATACTGCTGGATTTGTATTTATCTAAGGGTGATAGGGAGAGCTTTCTGTTATATTTTTGCAAGTTAATATCCGAAGTGGAACTGATATTTTTAAAGTAGGAAAGGATTACTTAGCCAAAATAGGTACTGTTAAGTTTTCCTTTGGTCACTTTTTGCTTCCCAGAAGTGGTGGGATGGAGAATCCCTATCTTTGTTTTTTATGCTGCCCCCCCTCCAATAATTTCTCTTTTTTTTCATCCATTTCTCTTTTTCCATGTGGCGTCATTGCAAATGTAGTGCTGCAGCCTCCTCAGCAGCCAGTGGATGGGTACCTGCACCGGTTAGAATCCCTGACAGGGAACCAACTTATTCTGCTGATTCTAATACTAGATAGAATTTGTGAGGTGGTGATCCTTAAAATGCCATTTCAAAGAATTATTTTCACATGTCAGAACTTTATTCTTAGTCTTCAGTTTATCAAAATACATTTCTTAAAGACTTGTTTTAGTAGGACACTTAAGATGTGTGATGCACTTTTGTTAAAAAGTATACTTGTTTTCAGAATACTTTTGGTGAAACCGAAGGCTGAAGTGTTAACCTTCAGGTGATAACAACCTGCTTGGATTAGCTCCCCTGTTTTCACAATACTTTTGACTCATTGCATCTGCATAAAGCTGTAGACTTTCTGTGATGCAGCCCAAGGGAGAATTTGCTTCACTTTCCTCTTTGGAGGGCATTTACATTGAAAACATCAGATGGTCCCTCTACCAACCAGCTTTAGGAGTTAAAGGAGTTTATAGGTGGAAAATTTGGGGTTTATTTTTAAAGTTCGTACTAATTATGCACCTATTTCATCATTTCCTTACTTGTGTATGATAGTAGGGATAGGGAATAGCTGCTATTTTTATTGGTAAATCCCATCTTTTCTTTCCAGTTCTCCCCTCCCCCATCTTCTGGCTCATTTTCATAAAGTATTTTTGGCTTCTTTGATAATTAACAGGCATCTTTGCATATTTCCTATGTTTTTGTCAGTTATTAGGCAGTAAACTTATAATATGATAACCTTGGCATCATCGTAGATTGTATATTCACCTGGAATTTTGATTCTCTTAAGACTTCTAGCAATCTTAGTTTTTCAGCATTCCAAAACTCAAACCACATTTTTAATGTATTTTAAATGTATTCCTTGTGCTATAGTTTCCCTGGGAACACTAATTGATGAAAAAGAAAAGGCAGTATATTAGAATAAAATTAACTGAAGTGTGCTACCATATTGTCTCATGACTGCCTTAACCTAATAAAAGGCTGTTCTAACATGTGAGAAGTGATCTTCATAAGACCAAAGGACTAAAAAAGATCAACATAGGCCAGATATGAGGCAATTTTGTAGGTATCTTATCTGAGTAAGAATGATAATATAAATTCGTTATTAAAATTCTAGCCACCTGAAGGCAGGCCTGTACTTGGGTAAGTACTGTGGTATTAAAGAGGATCCCCAGAAGACAAGGGGGCAGCTGCTGTAATCAAATGTTGTTTTGGGATGATTGCAACTTAAACTCTGGTGTGCTCATGAAGAGAATTACCTGGTTCTGATGATACTGTTATCACGGAGGTAGGAGGGCAGGCAAGAGAGGAAAATCATTAGGTTGCCAAAGCTTTGGTTTGCCTTCTGGTGTCAGATGATAATTGTTTTGCAAAATGGGGGATGGAGCAGCAGTGAAGGGGAGGGGAGGTACATTGCTACCCTACTGTCAGGGGAAACTGACAGTACTCTTCCAGAGTACTGGAAGAGTAAACTGGTCATATGGATAATAAGGAGAACATTTTACAATTACTTAAAGCATTCTAAGACAAACTGAAATCAGGGCCACCTAATCTTTAGTATCTGCCCCCTTCTTTCAGAGGGGAAATTGGAGCTATTCTGAACAGCCTATTTTTATCAGACATCTGCAAATGCACAGCTACTTTGTCTATCATCAGGTTCTAAGCTGATTGACAAATATAAGTCTTAACTCAGAAAGGGCTGATGGATTGTAGGGGAGTGGGCGTGGGGGGAATCATATAAATGGAATGATGCATATTTCAAATTAATTCATGCTCAAAGTGGGATGTACAGTAGTGATGACCTCTTTGACAATAATGACATTTCTTCTTGATCCTGAATTTTGACCACAAATGCTTTAATACTGATCAGGAAATGCAAAATCATAACCAACAATAAAATATTTTATTGGCTTATTTAAGCCCATTACTTACTGGGAACACATAGGCTACTTAAAATGTTCTTTTTAATTTATTTTCTTAATGCTTTGAAGAAAATATAACCAAGACTTTCTAGTTGGTTCAGATTATATGTAACATGAGTAGAACTTTAAAATATAAATCAAATTATATGCAATCTTATTGAGATCAGGGTAGGCTGTATTCATGTGACTTTGTAAAGGAACTATATATTAATTATTCTAAGTCTATTAATAGTATATCTAGGTCAAGAAGAGCCACTTAATAATAAATATGCATGCTATTTCTTAATGTATTATGTAAACATTAACAATGGGGGAACTGTATGTTCTCAAATTAATACTTATGGAAATAACAATATCATAATTAAAAACATCATAGGACTGGTGTAGAACCTTTAACCTTTCTTTTCTTACTGTATTTCATATTGTGGACACGATACAATATTAAATTTAAAAACTGTTACTATTATTAAAATTTTTAATATTTTCCCCCAAAATGTGTGTGAAATAAGATGACCATCTGAATTAAAAATATTTGAAATAAATATGTTAGCTAGTGGTTAGAGAATGAGATTGGATATGTCATTTAGTTCAAACATTTTTCAGACATGTCTGACTCTTCATGAATCCATTTGGAATTTTCTTGACAAAAATACTGGAGTGGTTTGCCATTTCCTTCTCCAGCTCATTTTACAGATGAGGCAACTGAGGGTTACGTGACTTGCCCAGGGTCACACAGCTAGTAAAGATTTGAACTCAAGAAGAGTCTTCCTGAATTCAGGCCCAGCACTCTCTCTGGTGCGCCACCTAGCTACGCAGTTCAAATATTAAGTACCAAGTATGGATAAGTACTAGTCTAGGTCATGAATAGATGAATAAGGAAAGGTCCCTGACCCTCAAGGAACTTAAAGTCTAGCAAAGGGAACGAAGTTTGTGCACAAATTACAATCAAATCAAATAAAATGTGTGTAGGAGAAAGACCAGATGTTATAAATGAGCTGAGGATGGGAAAAATATTTCCCATTAGGAGTATCACTAAAACCTAATGACATTTTATTCATCTCTTAGTTGCTCATCACCTCTTATAGCAATTACAGAAATCACTTAGGAGACAGAGTTAGTGTTTTTGCCCCATTTTCTAAATTGAGTTAGGCATTATGAAGCTATGATTAGTTCCAGTTTATCTCATATATATATATATATATATATGTTATACATGTATATAATATACATACATTCATATACCACACATACATACACACATGTGTATTTAAGTATATACATACATATGTATAGTTTGATAGAGTTTGTACAGACTTCTTTTCATGTTGTCTCTCTTGTTAGACTGTGAATTCCTTGAAATTCTGTCTTTTGCTTTTGTGCCTCACATCCCCAGTGTGTAACACCATGCCTGGTATATAGTAGGTGCTTAATAAATGTTAACTGGCTATGATCTGGCTAAGAACCCGTAGAAATCTAGAGATGTGTCTGAGGCTTCTGGATTCCCAAACTACTTCTGAATCTAACAGCCTTCACTATTTGAACCGAAACCATTCAGCAGATTCAGGAGACTCCTGGGGAGGCTTCTGTAGGACAGAAATGTTTGTGGAAAAAGAACCCATGAAAGGAGAGCTATTCTGTTACTCTAAATTATCCTAATAATTGCATCTTTTTAGTTTTATTTTAAAACTTGGTAGATACAGACTTTGATTAGAGTAAGAATAAAAGCAAAATAGGTCAGTGGTAGAAAATGAATATCTCATAATGAAATAATTTCAAAGTCATGTGTAATCAGCATAGCTAATAATAGCTACCAGTCATATAGCATTTCAAGATTTACAAGTCACTTCACATTTATTTTCTCACTTGATCCTCACAACAGCCCTAGTGGTAGGTGCTAAATGAGGCCAGGCAAAGTTATATGACTTGACCAGGATCACAAAGTTTATGTCAGAGGTAGGATTTGAATTCACACCTATGCCACTTAGCTGCCTTTTACACGAAAGTAACACATGGCTAAGAAGATAACTAGGTGGCACAGTGGATAGAATGCTGGTTCTGGAATCAAGAAGAC